GCTTTTTTAACGTTTTTGGCAGTTTTTTTTTGCATAGCCTTTCGCAATTTAGGGTTAAAAAAGAGGTTTAATTAAAAGATATTTATTAATATTTATATATTATTTTTTTTCTTGAAACGATAAATGTTTTATATAAATAAAAACACACAAATGTGCGATAACACAAATGCAAAGCCATCGGCTGAAAAGTGGGAGGACAGGTCCGCAGACTGCCTAGAATCCGCCGCTAGCAAGCTAGAATGAAAACACACGAAAACCACACAAAAAAAGCTAAAAAAGATCCCAGCAGGATAATACCTGAGTGTCAGATCACAATGAGATAATAAGGCGACACTCCGGTTCACATGGGCCAATGGCCCAAACCAAAAATACAAGCCCTAAACAAACAAACACAACCAAACAAAGATACATAAGCCTACAGAAAACAAAGATATTAAACAAGCCCTTCCTATGCAGCAAACCAAGCAGAGCCGGTGGATACCGAGATGAAACCGGAATGAGTCCCACAACCAAAGAGGATCGACCCGAAACTGCCCAAACACCAACTCGGTGGCCTAACGAAGTCAGCCCAAGCCCCAGAACAACATCCGAAATCAAACTCGAACCACAACCTCAACACCCAAGATGCCTCAGGACCACCACGAGACCGGACCCACTAACACCACTAGCGAGACCAACCGCATCCGGTAAACCCTTGAACCACGAAGATGCCGAGGCTGCAGCCACGTCCCCTACCACCCGAATCCGCCACAAACCACCATCCCCCACTGCCCCACCTCTGCCATCACCACTGGCCGGAGGTTAAGAAAGGGGAAGAGGGCTGGAAACGCAGCAGAGCTCCGGCCGTCCGACAGCATCGCCGCCGAACAATCGAGGCGTCAACCACCCGACCGAATCCGCCAACGAAATCCTCCGCCCACCACAGTCCCATCTCTGGCATCGCCACAGACCGGAGAAGAAAACGGTGGTCCTCCTCAGATCCACCACCGGAGGAAAGGGAAAAAGCCGAGAACTCAGCGGAGAACCCAACACCCACCTCCCGTCGATACTCCCCAGGAAGCCGGAAAAAGCCCACGGGCCGACAATAGAGCCCAGACCCGAACAAAAGAGAAGAGAGGGCATACCTGAAAGCTGCCGACGAAGGAGGCGCGTGCAGCCGGGCGGAGACCAGGCGACCGGGGACGACGCCCGACTCGAGCTCAATTACGGCAAAGGAAGGTTATCGGCGTTGGAGAGGAGAGTGACGAGCGACAGGTAGGGTTTGGAAGAAAGGGGCGCTGGAGAGGAATGATATAAGTTGTTAAATCACTTAATATTTATATATTAGGAATACTCATTAAATAATATTTATATTAAAAATATGAAATCAATATATAATACAACTTACCTATATAACTTATTAAAAATGTTATATGATATTTAAAATTATTCAAAATTGCATAAAACGTGTCTAATTAAAATTAGGAGGAGACACGTACGGTGCACATGATTTATAATAAATTATATTATATTCATTTTAAAATAAGTGTCATTTTGATTTTTATTCTGAATTTTGATTTGACAATAATATGATTCCATAAAATAAATATTTTGGTAAAATTTTATAATATATTTAAAAATCTATGTGAATAATAAAGTAATTATAAAATTTATGTTCTTTCATTAATTAAAATAGATTTATTTTTATATAAACTAACAAATAAAAAAATTTAATTAGTTGAATTATTTATTAAACTATAAATAATTGACTATTCCACTTATGTCCAAGTTAATATAAACCCGTAAGTTATGAATATTTACTTATTTGACTTTTAAATTTGGAATTCAAATTTGGACTACACAATAAATTTTTTGCTTATATATATTTCACACACACACACACACACACACACACACACACACACACACACACACACACACACACACATATATATATATATATATATATTATCTTGCAATTTTCTAGATTTGTTGTTGGCTACCTTATCGTTCAATTTCCAAGAGCTTTCTCTTAGCAGTCGAAGTGTCAGCAACATGTTCAACATCCTGAACAACCTTCAATGGATCCAGGAGCTTTCTCTTAGCAGCCAAAGTGTCAGCGACATGTTCGACAACCTGAGCAACCTTCAATGGTGTAGACACTTCATCGTCCAAAATTGCATCCTAAGTGACAATAAATGATAATTGATTTTTTTTTTTTAAAAAAAAAACATCTAATTTAAGAGTAGTATATCGGAGTTTGCAATTAAAGTAAAACAAACCTGCCTATTGTCGTTGTCTTCCCTTTACTCGCAATCTATCATAGAAAATAGGATCATTTGAATCTTTTCTTTGTGAACCAATTTTGATTGAATGGGTTGAACCTCAATGACCATAACAATTGCATCTACAATATCAAAATAATTCGATCAACAATTTATTAAGTAGTGATAAATGAAAATAAAAATTGAAAAAAATATATGAATTCACATTAAATTAAACAATTACCAAAAAGAAATGATTCATCCACATTGTCAACATTTTGAGAGGTAGAAAAAACTGCGGAAGTCAATATGAAATGTAAGAAAATCAGAATAAAATTTCAAGACCTCCGTCCCCATTAATTATGAGTTTCAACTTTTCCATGGTAGTGCGATATTTACCAATATTGCTTTCTAGTTAGTAATTACGAATCTTGTAATCTCCACCCTCTACAAAGAAACACAGTTAGACTACACTGGTCAAAATAATTAATATTGAAAATATAAATTTAATAGATAACATCAATCTCGACATTGTGGAAAATAATATCATGCAACTACGATAAGCGACATCGAATGATCTATCAAATATGCAAATGGCTCGAAGCTTTAGCGTTACTCTCTTATTTCTGTTAAGTTGTTTGATCAAGCCAAATGGTTGGACCATCGCGTTTTGTTTTTTGAGTATTTGTGAGTTGTATTTGTTTATTGTGTTTTTGTGCTTATTTTCATGTGGTTTATATGTTTTAGTTGAGTGTACTTAGGTTTGTCTTAGTGTCAACCGGTCTATTTTATCGTGTTTTGTGTATTTTTGCTCTCCTATTGTGTTTTTGTTGTTTGGCGTATTTTTTTTGTCTTTTTGGTGTTGTTTAGGTCCACACTATTCGAGTTTGGCGAAACGAGCCATTTCCGAGACATTACCGAGCCGTCCGAACCATGTCCGAGCCACGCGAACTATTTCCAAGCCATTTCAAGAGTATTTATTAACTGCATGGTGACACACATTTACACATCTCAAGACGAGGAGAAAAAGATTTGAGGAGCGTGGGTCAAAATTTCAAGTCAATCGGATAAGCGTGCGAGAAATTAGAGCTATCAAGCCTCATGAACCAGATTCACAAGTTGCGAAATCCAATTCCGCGAGCTAAGGCCAACTCGCGAGATAGTCACGCTGCCAGACTCCAAAATTCGAGCCTGCGAATTCGGCCCCTATCCCGCGAAAAGGCCTTACCTCGCGAGTTTCGCATTGTGCATGGCTAAAGAACAAAATTCGAGCCTTCGAATCCAAGGAACTATCCTGCGAACGCATGCTACCCCGCGAGTTCTACCTTTGCTAGCGAAATTAACCTGCGAATTCGAAGACCCAGCCCCCGATTTCGACTTATCTAGCGAGTTTTTCTCATTTAATGTGTGTGTTTTAGTGTGTGTTTGTGGTGTAGCTATAAATAGATATTGTGCTTTGTATTTTGAGAACAATTTCCTCATTCGCCAAATTTTCCTTTTTAGATTTGCTCTCTTCTCTCTCTAGTTTTCTTTCTCTCTAAGGGATCCAAGATCCTACTTTTATTGTAATATTTCTCCGTCAATATTACAACTTTTCAGCTTATTTCTTCTCGTGGATGCATTAGTGGACTTCGTTTATAAGGTCCATGATTTCGTGAGTCTTGCTTGTCTTTACTTATTGGATTTATTCTAGGGTTAAGATTGTGTTTAGTAAAATTTTGGTGTGGGTAAAGGATAACCGAGTTACCCGACTCGGGTCGATCTCGCGGGAAGGCTATTCGGAGCTTTACTTACTATTCGATCGCTTAAATCACAAAAAGAGAAAAATAAAGCCTACACATTCTAATCAATCTGGGTTTAGATGGTTTGGAACTAGAAACGACTAAGAAAGCGAGTAAACGAACAAATAGGAAAGTGAACGAACTATGAAATCCTAGCAACTAAATCGATGAACAAAGTCAAGAGCAACAAAAGCGAAAGTAAGAGAAACGAACTCCATTTAGCATGCTTAAGAGCCAAACTGAAATCCTACTACGAAATAACCGAGCTAAACATCAAGTCACGATTTTTCAAGTAGCAATTAACACTTCAACCAACTCCAAGCATAATAAACGAGCTCACAAAAGTAAAGGGAACGAAAACAACTAAAATAGCTACTAAAATCCAATAAACGAGCAAACCCTAATTACTTCTACGCACGAGATAACAAGTACGAAAATCGAGATCACAAGGCTTAAAAGTAAGTACTCACATCCCTAACGCATGCTTGATCGAAATCGGAAGAAAAAGATAAGAACTTTGCATAAACCGAGAGTCACCGAAAAAAGTCGCCGGAAAATATAACAAGCATCCACAACTTACTGTAGAGAAAATAAAAGACTTAAGCTAAGAACCAAAAAGGGAAAAGTTCAATAATGAGCTAGATAATCCATAATGTAAAGGCTCAAAAGTATTTATACTCCACTCAAAACACGCACTAGAAAAACGTAGATTTAATATGGCACTCTCGATCTTGCCACGGAACTCGCGAGCTCGCGGCATGAGGACGTGCGGGCGCGCACGGGAAAGGGACACTCTCGACCTCGCGGATGGACTCGCGGGCGCGCGAGCGGCAGAAATTTGGCACTCTCGAGGTCGCGGAGGGGTTCGCGGGCGCGGACGGCAGAAATTGGACACTCTCGATCTCGCGGATGGACTCGCGGGCGCGCGAGCGTGCGATCATGCTGGGCGCTGGGGCGGCGAAATTGGACACTATCGATGTCGCAGGCGTATGTGCGAGCTCGCGAGCGCGCGAGGTGCTGGGGCGGCAAGGCTCTCGAGGGCGCGGGCGTACGCACGAGCTCGCGGGCGCGCGAGGTGCTGGGGAACGGCTGGACACTTTCGGCATGGAATCGACTGAGGCTCGGAACTCTCGGAGATGAAAACGTCTCGTACGAAATGGCTCAAAACTTTCTCGAAAACTCGACTTCTTCGAGAAATGCTCGTCTCTCAGAATGTGGCTCGACTCTCTCGTAACATGGCTCGACTCTCCCTTTCCATCCCCGGAATAAACCTGAAATTTATACCCAAAAGCACTGAAAAGTACGCCAAAATATAAAATAAAAAGAAAAACTTAAAAACACACAATAAACGACAAAATGGACTGGTCGACACTAAAATAAACCTAATATCGACTCGAAAGCACACATAAAGACATAAAAATACGCACAAAAACACAATAAACAGATTGACACATCCATGAGTTAATTATGCTATCATTCTCGTACGTTAGGGATTATGTAATATTGTTATTGATTGCGCGAGCGGGAATTGATTAAGATGTTAATTGATCACGAGTAACTATCACTTGATTGCATGTTCCCGAACCTATGAGTGTCTTCCTTCCATCTCGGGTCTAGGAGTACCTTGTTGTTTTTCTTTTTATTATTTTCTTTGTTCTTGCTGTTTGAGGAGTTGCTTGCTCGTTAATGTTGAATCTTGCTCTCGTTTAGTTTAAAGTTGCCATCTTTAGCTTAATCAAATCCCAAATTGGGAGTAGAGTGTTTTTAATTTTTATTTCCTTTTCTTGTGTGAGTCGATTGTTGTTTGAATCCGTGTCCGAATAGCCTTATTTTGAGAACAACCCGAGTCCGAGTAACTCGGTTACCAACTACCCAAAAATACTACAAACACTATTAAACAACGACAATTGCATGATTAGACCTGTATGTGATGGTATTTAATTATAGTTGATATTATTGGTGTTTTTT